AAATTAAGATTTGTTCACAGGATGGTACTAAGCAGCAGATGGAACTGGTAGAATGTTGGTTAAGGTCTGAGCAGTGAATGGAAGCTTAGGTTCCTAACGTTCAATTGTGTCTGCCCCTCTCCACATTTATAATCCGAAAGTAATGATTAAGAATGTGGAGAAGAGCAGATATGGTTGCATAAATCCAATTTTATCTTTCGATCATGAAGTAACTGTTCAACATCAAGAGTCATGCTAAGAAAACGTTTAACGAAGTAAATAAGCTGATTAATCTGAACCGATTGGTGCCAAAAAAGGAACACAAAATTATTCCGCTAAAAATCTCTCAAAACTCCTGACTAATGATGTCTCTATTCCAGTTAAGCTGTTCTATTCCTGTTCTGTTCCGTAGAATAGAGTAGAACAGTTCTTCAATGTGGAAGGAACAGTTTGGAATAGAATAGAGCCGCTCTTGAGCCCAAAATAACAGAATAGAACAGCTTTCAACAGACTTTGGCTGTTCTTTAAACTGTTTTTGAATAACATTGCTATATTATTGCTATATTTATTATATTTTATTATATTTAATTATTATTTATTGTATTTGTGTTATATTTATTATTATATTTGTACATTTTCGTATTGTTGTTATTGTTAATATCATTATTATCATTAAAGTTAATATATTTATTATTATTATTACGTGTTTGTTATTATCACTATGAGTTTTACTTTCAATCCTAATTTTTTTGGAACACATCTGTCACGACAATTGAGTCGTGAGTTAATTTTAAATAATTGAAAATGATATTAGAATGATTTAGTCGTAAAATCATTCAATTATTAGAATGATTTAATAACAATATTGTCAGTTTGATTGACAATACATTGTTTACGCGAAGAGCCATTGAGTATCATATGGCAACCTATCCCTCAGAGAATCAGTGAGAAAATGATCAGAGGGATAGTTTGATAAGATAAAAGTGATTGGCATTCCGAGCTTCAAAGAATTACGAGTAATAAAGTGGTGCAGCTGTTGATTAGAACTGAAACACTATAAAAGGAAAATTCTACCATTGATAAGTTTCTTTGTGTGTCGTTGAAATAGCATCATGCAGCCGCATGATGTATTTATGATAACTTCTTATTTTTATTGATTAACTGTTAGTATTATAATTTTGTTCACGATGTTTGTTAATTGTATGTGGTTTAATTACCCAGGTTTGAGGTAATTTTCCGAATAAAAATTGAATCGACAGTACACAATCTTTACAGCCATATAATAAAAAATAGAAAAAATCATTAGCTAGAATCGTGAAAATTTAAGGAAATTCCATTTCTCCTCAGTTTTAATAAGCAATGGAACTAATGTAGGCAAAACGAACTGCCATATGCAAGTTCTCTTTTGCATTGAAGAGAACTGTGCGAGCTCTCTTCAGTGCGAAAGGGAACTATGCAAGTTCTCCTTTGCATTCTTGAATCCGATACTCTCGACATGTCGGCTTCGGCTATCTTACTTATATCGAATTGGAATGTGATGACTTCTAGCGACAATGCAGTAATTGCGTTATTGTCACATAATGCTTAAAAAATGATTGATGAATGGGAAGAAGCAAGATATCTTCAATCTCACAACCAAATGCTGCGGTTGCTGCCATTACTCTGTTGAGGTATATCGTGCAAAAAACGATGATTGAATTTAGCACTGTTCAGTAAGACTGCAGCTGTACAGCTGTCTCCCTGAAACAAAAATGTTTCGAAAAAAACTGTCAATAACAAATTTTCTGGGTACATTCTGTGAAAGATTGAACATCAAATTATAAGTTGCAGCTAAAAACTTAGCAACGAACACTTCCATTAAGTTTACTAAGTGATCAATGAGTATATCGTTTTTGTGATCCCTACTAAGTGATCATACAAGATCACACTGATCCATAAATAATCATTAACTGAAATAGTTTGTCTGCACCATTTCTGAAGAATCACAGTGTTCTGATCTCACGCGTTTAACTTTCCTTTTGTCATAAAACTCTCATGTGCAATCTAATCACAAACATCATTCTATTTTCCCCGATGTGTTTTCAGTTAATAGATGATGGCGAGAGTGACGAATATCTCGAACAGCTGCCACTATCACAATCACTCTCTGATAAGAAGAAGTAATCAGTTGTACTACTTCCTCGTTTCTGATCAATATGCGGGTGCATGAACAGACATATCCAAGTAAATATTCAAATGATAACGATCAAATCAGAATTCAGTTGTTCTTTCCAGTGTTTTTACCACTGCTGGCTGATAGCAAATAAACTCGTTCTTCTCATACCATTAAAACGATTTATGTGTTTGTTGTCTCAATAGTAAACCGCAGTCGATTTAACTGTGCTTATACGTATTGATTGACTGCTGCTTTATTCGTTATAATTAGATGCATTTTGTGTGCGTTCGACAAACAATATTTATGCCGCTGATAAGCGTGAATATTCTCTCCACAATCGAAATCACTAAAACACTCTAATCCGAAATCAGAATCGTAATTTACAGAAAGATAAAGCATAAAGATGCAGTTAACTGCCCTAATTCGACCCCAGGAATGCACGAATCAATTTGATATGCTATAATTGTTGAAGAATTTCAATAAAAATGCACAAACAACACTGTTTGTTATGATATTGTTTTCATGAATTCATCTCACCTCAAATTGTATTTGTTCAGTTACGTCTTAAGTAAACAAATACAACTGATTGTGAGATGAACTCATGGAAATATTGTAACAAATAGCGTTGTTCTTCATTCTTCTTCGCATCGCAAATTCATTTTGTTGCACCTTTTTTGAAAACCTTTGATATCCAATGCGTATCGAGTTGATTTGTGCACTTCTGATACTGAATGTAGACAGTGAATCTGCATCTTTATGCTTTATCTTTCTGAAAATCACTATTCCAATTTCTAGTGGTCAAATTGGAACGTTTTAACGACTTTGATTATGGAGAGAATATTAGTTCATCGCGTTTGTATCAGTGGCATTACTCTTACTCTCCAAAAATACCGTACAATGGATTATTGCAATAGTTGGTGTATCATGTCATGACACTGCTGAATGTCGTATTGATTTTAAGAGTCTCGTATAAGAATCGAATCAAACGTGCGTGTTGTTGCGTTATTCAGCCTGGATGCATCATTTGCGTATGTATGCATCATAAAGGATGCTGTGTGCATTGCATGTGGTATTCAGCCTGGATGCTTCATTTGATGGAGATGGAAGGTTGTCAGCAGTTTATTTGCTTGAATGCCTCTTTTCCTCGAGAGATTGCTATAGCAATGATATCATATTATATACAATCGAAATTGAGCGCAACTGAGGCCTTGTTTTTCATTAGCTGCTGTGCGTGTTGGTGTGAAGCTAGACGGGTATTAAAAGACCTTATTCGATGATATCAGCCATGTTCTTTTAATCCGCCCAAACGGTTTAGTAATCAACCTATGCATATATGTCGTAATTTCGGATGTATTATGTCTATTTTTTCACTTAATCGTTGCAAATGTGTGTTCTGCACATATTGCACATTGTCAACTTTCCTCTGATGGCTATCTGCGAAGGTGCCTCATGAAAATTCCTCTCTCATCATGTTGCATGCATATTTACTAAGTGCAACGATTTCATCCTCCATATTCTGAATAGTGAACGTTTTTTTATTCAGTGAATTTGCTACAATTTATATGAGTAGGTTGGGTCATTTGTGAACGTTTTTATCGGTAAATGTCATTCCGATTATTTGTGTGAGCTCAATAAAATCATTTTTAAGCATTATTAATGAATTCATTGTTGTTAATGAATTTCATTTGCTCACAAAACTTTCTCGAATGTGCTACGTGAATGAAAATAGTTTTGATAAATATCAACAAATCATTGAACTGCTCAACGAGGGTCTCTGCAAAAGTTTTCAACGATTATTAGCGCACGGTGAGTCTGATATCAGCGAGCGATTTTTGACGAAGCGCGATCAATATTTGAGCACAAATATAGAAGAAAGATATTGTGAAACAGCCTTAGTTCTAGTCGGGTATGATTTAGTATTCGCAAAATCTCATTTGCAATGTCGGGATAATACTGGGATTGCAAAATGAGCATGAACAGAAGATAAAGCAACAGTAATGATGAAGCACTAAGCAAGGTTGTTGAATGTTTTGTTCATTGCTTTGTGAAGAAAATTCTAAGGTGTCGCCAATATGTTATTGTTCATCCACTTATACCCTATTGAGTGGTAGACCAATATCGCTGAATTTGAATAAAGTGGAAGTGATCGAATTCTCAAGTCATCGAATTCTCAAGTCCCAAGGTTTTTCAGAAGATAAATTAGGGGATTGAGATCGGGATTAAAAAGTTGAGATCCGTGCAGACACTAACATGGTTATCTTTGAATGTTTCATTCAATGTGAGAATTGTAGATGATTAATGCTTTTGAGTATAATTCGTTAGTTTTCTCTGATAACTCATTATTTCGCATCTTAATGTGCGATAACTAATTAATGTTTCCATCCTCTCAACACACTACGCAGTATTGATTTCGCGTAGGTAAACAAATATTCTTCGTTGGGTCGTAGCAAAACGTTGAAATGCCTTTCTTTGCCTGAAAGCGTTTGTTCTTAGATGGAATCGCAGATGAACTGTGAACAAATTTCTGAGACTGCTTAATTCAGTCGGAGTCACAGTGCTGCCGTTCATTTCTTGAGGATCTGAGGGAGAAAATTCTAAGTAAATATGTAAACAAAAGTGATTGATTTTATAAAGTTTTTTCTGCTTCAACTGAATATCTTTAATTTGCATTGAGCATATTCGTATGATGTCACGTTGTACTTTGAAGAATTATAATTCCATCTCACTTTTTTGTCGTTTGTTTCGTTTAATTTCTGTGCATCTATAATTGCTTTCTATTTCACAGAAATACGATCGACGTTGCGTTACTCTGCTCAACCAGTCACATTCTAATTGGACATTTCGGATTCGGAAAAAGTCTTAAAAGATGTCGTTATTTCAAGAGTCATTTGAAATGCTGAGCGAACAGCAAAGTATGCGTCTCTTTAATGTTGTACTTGGTGGATCGCAATTGTTTGGTATGTTTTCGTATTTATCATCAGTCAGTTTTTTGCTCTTTATCGAACTTCAGTGCGATTTTTATCGAAACAATGATACGCTTTCTTTCAATTCGTTCAATTTATCGGTTATGAGAAGAAATTGTCGCTCGGAACGTATTCGTGAACAAGGGCAAAATCTTATCTCGTCCACAAAACATTCCACATTATCCTTCTCCTAATGGCAGCTTTTTTCGAAGTTGAAAGCATTAAGTTCCCTGATTAGGCTTGTAACATTCGTTCAATTATATTGAGACAGTTGTTTTGCAGTGATAAATAAGCTTTCGTAATGACTTATTTTTGCAATGGTCCAAAATGTATGTTATTGGTGCAGAATCATTGGTGCAAAATCCAAAATGTATGTTAAGAGAAATTTTAGTAAAAGCCGAAACAAATGAGAAACTGACAACAAATATGGCTTTAGTGACTATGTTCATTTATCGTGCTCGATTTCAAGTTGCTTCGGTGGTTGTTTACAGTTTGTTGAGTTCAACAACCCATGTGAAGGAAACATTTGTAAGAGTTATCTGAAACGAATACATTTCATCCTGTCAGAATGAGTACTCTTCCCGAGGGTGATCACTTTTTTTCTCGATTGATGAATGCGAAAGCTTGTTTAATAAGATTTTTTCCAAAAAGTGTACAAAGAAAATTTCCCGCAGGATATATAGGAGTGTGCTGCTGCAAATAAGATTCGAATATAGAATTCAATTATAGAGGACCATTGAGCTTTGTCAGTTACGTATTCATGCATCGATTATTTCAAGCAGTCTGCTTTGTTGCCATGAGAAAAGTGTCCGTTCAGAAACGCATCCATCGTCACACAATTCAACACAACGATCATTCGTTCGTGTTCGATGCACATTCTATCGTTAATTAGACAGAATATCCACATTACTTAATGGATTACTTACGATTACAGTATTGAGTTGGCGTCGAATGATCAAACATCACCACGTTGTGAGATTAATGATAAAGCATAAAATCATTAAAATAAACATTTTTAGATATCATTTCAGTGAATTCTACAATGATGATAACAATTCCAATTTCATAAACTTCAACAATTCCATAGGAATTTATCAAAATGAGTTATTGGAATGTCAATTCATTTGAATCAATTTGACTTATATTCTCGAAGGTCACTGTATCAGACCGTGCGTTTGGAATGTCTGTCAACGAATAAAAGAAATGAATTTTATAATTACCAAAAAACTTTTGAGGTGGTGCTGCAGTGTTTTTGGTAGCGATATGGATGGGTGGATATGAGGATGGATTTGCTTGGAGTGATGACCCAGAAAGACAGTTCCATTACCATCCAACCTTCATGACCATGGGTCTTGTGTTTCTTTACGGAGAAGGTCAGTTCCTCGAGCTCATCATGACCAACCGTTACTCAGTCTGTGAACAGCGCATGAATCCAATGATTAATTCCAGACCGTTCTTACTTAACCGTTGAGCACATTCACCCGAATGTCACCGCCTTGCATGTCATTAAAAATCTTTGAACAATCAACAAACTTCCTTGTCGAGCTAATTTTTATTCGCTTTCGACATTGTTCATTCCAGTAAACTCTCATAATTCCTAATTAAATATCATTGCTGTCATGCAGTTACAAATTTGATCCCAACTCTTATTTGAAGGTGCTTCAATTGAATTTTAGCATTATTGGTCTATCGCGTATTCCGTAATGAGCGCAAACGTTTCTCGAAGTTACTACATTTAACATTACACACAATGGTACTCATATTCATGATAATCGCGCTCAAAGCTGTTTGGGATTCGCACGACTATCATCAGAAAGGCGATCAGCTTGATCCATTACCGAATTTATATTCACTGCATTCATGGATCGGTATTTCGGTTGTTGTTGCGTATTGCATTCAGGTTCGTATTCATTCAAAATCGTGGCATCTAACATTTTCCGATTCTGACACCTCCCTATTAAGTTTGTCGATGTATTAAATAAGCCATGTTGGTTTCGTTCGCTAAGTATACTCGCATTATGCGAAAGCTTTTTGTGTCTCAAAAAAATCGCGAGTGTATCGCTTCAATTCGGATGAATTATTTTCGACATGAAAGATGAATTATTTTCGTACGACATCACGTTCAATCAATCCAACGTTACAGTATGTGAGTGGTTTCGCGACGTTCTTCTTTCCTGGGTTTAGCATCCCAATGCGACAGTTTTTAATGCCATTTCATCAGGCGTTCGGTCTTGGCTTGTTTACATGCGTTAGTGCTGCTGCCGTGATGGGCATTTCGGAACGTGCCGCTTGGAAACACACGTTAGAACTCAATTTTTTGTTATCGTATTATATCATGATAACATGAGTAGAGAACCAGATACTAGCCAAATCCTAGCCTGGTTTGAGCTCGGTAACATCAGTGACATTGATATACCACTCGGTTTCAAGCAAACCTCCCCCCACCTTCCCCCCGAAGTTTTGCTTGAAGCCAAATGGTATATCCATATCATTGGCGTAGTGTATTAGTTAGTTTTTGAAAGTGAGCACGACAAATTTTATCATTTAAAGTTTTTGTATGAATAGCTAAATTTGAAGTTCAAACGCGTTTCCAATTTTTGAATAGCAACATCACTTTTGATTTCACGAGAAATACTCATTCCACCTCAGGTGCTGGACTCAAGACAAACAACTTTGCGGTGAGCAAGTGGTGAGCAATTTTCTGGGTCTAACGATTCTGGCTTATTGCGCCTCAGTGGTGATCATCGTTCTGAATCCAAGATGGCGTCGAAGACCACTTCCTGAGGAGGAATCACTTCATCAGCTTACCACCACTGATTAGATGAGCTTGGAGCGTTATGTTTCACCCTATACTGAACTTCTCAGTACACTTATCGTTCCGAAATTCTTTTGAATTTATAACGACGAAGTGAATGAATGCGAATTTTGAGTTGAAATTTTAACAATAGAGCAATTCTTTGACGATTGAACAAGTGATCCATATGGTGCTGACAGTGAGCATCGGAGAGATACACATGTAAATGGGTATTTCATATTTTTTAAAGAGGACATTCGAAAATTTGAAAGAAAATCTCATTATCTTCACCAGAAATTCACATCCATTCAAATAATGCAAAATGAATCGGTCGATATTTGTTGGGTGAATCAGATGTGACGTGTGGTGTCAAGTGAACATTTTCAGATATCATTCCATGCGTTTGGTCTCGATAAATTCACTAATTTCATGGCTTTATTTTCCTCGAATTGTTATCTTTTTTCCTTTCTTTGTGATTCTCAGAAGTTAACAACATATTTTAAAAGATGCATCCTTTCTGCATCAATTTTCGCTTTTCCAGATATTTGTTCTGAATCTGTTGAATCTATTTGACTATTCTGTCACAAATAATAATTCTTTCATTTCATTATGTCGTCCATTACGTTCACGATACTACAGTTCGAAGTTTTTTGGTATAAGAGTTGAACTTCAATAACTGTAATCTATTGTTTGTGCTGTTAATTCGGCAAAATACGATACATCCTTTTCACATTATAAAATTATGAACGTTTTTCAGAGTGTATTTACACAAGATTATTGTTCACACTTTTAATATTTCCATCTTCCTTCTCAAATTGGTTTGTGTTGATTTGTCGTCTGAGTTTTTATGAACTTTTGTCCTAACGATAAGTGACTCATGCTTCTGATAATTGAACGGTTCATTTGATGGGTAACATTTTCACGATAAAATGAAAACTTTATTCGATCCTAAACTGGCTCGCATGCAGTGGGCATAGGCAATATTTCACTAGGAAAAACGAAATCGAAGGTCTTATTATCCAAATTCATCGATGTTTGATATTTTTCTCTCTATTCCGATAAGATTATTCTCCAGAAAGCAGTGCTGGTTTCAGATTCAGTTTCGTGGAAGTGTTCCCTCAGTCGAACGCTCTTTTATGATTCTATCTGTTTTATAAATCTTCCTTGTTTGTTTGTCAACTCAACCACAATCATCNTCCGATAAGATTATTCTCCAGAAAACAGTGCTGGTTTCAGATTCAGTTTCGTGGAAGTGTTCCCTCAGTCGAATGCTCTTTTATGATTCTATCTGTTTTACAAATCTTCCTTGTTTGTTTGTCAACTCAACCACAATCATCTATGTGATTTGGAGATGTGTGATCTCGTTCGCGTCTGTTGATAATCTGTTTTTGTCGAAGGTCGTTTTATTTCGTTGCCGTTCCACTGTTTACAGTCTTAATGTGATTTGTGTGCTGTTTGTGGTTTGTATGCCTCTGTTCTTTCAAAAAGTTTACTTCTGTACTGGTCATTTTCCAATAAATTTTGTTCTTTTCAATTTTTGCATTTGAAGAATCACATTTAATTTTGTTATATCTCGTAAGCATTTTTATTACTAAATGTATTCAAATCTTCGACGAACCAAAAAAAAACCTTCGAAAGCAGAACATTAATTGCAAAAGTTCTCATCACAATCGATTAATAGATTTTTCTTTAACTGTCTGCAACACTAGCAGCAAACCCGTCAGATGTTGGTCGCGTTGTTTTTAACGACGCAATTCAAACGCAATGCACTCACGGCAGTGATGAACAAGTAATGTCAACCAACGCTTGGACTGACAGTTTATGATGACTGATTAATCAACTGAGCCGAACTAATGGATAATTGTGGCAGTTTGCATTTGTTTATGACAGCAAGGGGTTTGCAAGATTGGGTGAGCAACTGGGTGTGAATTGCTGCCATTTGCCGTCACTAAATGGAGAGAAAATTTCTCACATACGAGTTAATACGACAACGAAAGAGCTGAGTGCCAGAAAGCGCAACCAAAGTCGCTTGTCTTGGTTATATTGTGCAATTCAATGCCACTAAGTTCATTCGAACTTAAATAAATCTCAGTTATTGATGAACCATTGTATCGGGTAAATATACGAACATTTAAGTTGAATACGAATGAATTAGACTTCTAATCAGCCACAGACTGATACTGTCCATAACTGGTGCGCATTTGTAATGATGAGATGAGCTAGCGTCCGAAAGAATACAAAAAGTAATGCATAAAGGTTTTATCGATATACATTTTTTTCAAACGAAGTGGTTTAAATTTCATCATACGTAAAATTCTCGAAAAATGATGTCGCACTGCCGTACTTTCTTCCAGAATATATAATACCTGTTAAACACACAGTCAAAATTATGATCAGAACCTGCAGTTTTCGACATTGTTTTGTGGCGTAGAATAACAACAATACAATTACAGAGTATCTTCACAAGCAATAAGCTGTAAGAGTGTCAAAATCTCTAGCAACAATGAAGGAGATCTAATTGCCTGATGGATGATCATTTCTTTTCAGAGCAGTTCCAACGCCACATCTGGCTCCACTAGACGGAGGAGATAAGTTCATGAGTTCTTTGTTGTTTGTTTCTACGAATACGAAACAAACAAAGCTTTTTTAGTGGTTGGAGAAAATTCGGTGAAATTTTCTGTTTGTACAGATGGGTAGCGAACAAACTTGACGAAATGATTCATTACGGAAAGCGATGGTTTGCTTAAAAAGTGGACGTATTGAAGGCTCTTCATTTGATATCACAGTCATCGTGAGACTCCACTCGAATATTTAGTTAAGTTTGATTTTTTTCCATCATTTGCCATTAGTTATTGCATCCGATATCGTAATATTATTTCATTTGCTCTTCCCATTTGAATCACATCGGAAATATCGAATGAGTTTTCCCAAAACAATTCAATAGCGAATGCATCAAGGCCTCGAAAAGTGATTGGTTACGGTAATGAGGTTATTGAAATTACGTAAATAAAAACGTTTCTTCAGGCTGAATATGTCAAGTTCGATAATTTTCTTCATCCTTGCTGTATGGC